CCAGCCCCACATCTGGCCATTCCCAAGCTATGGCTGCCCCAGCAAGGCCCCACAATGGGTCCCAGTGTGGCTGAGGCCAGGAGAATGGGGAGTCCCACAAAAATGAAGATGTCATTGGGCTTTAGGGGAGGGCAGAGCTGCTGTGGGCTGCCAAGGCATAATGCACAAGCCCTGTGGGTGGCATAATGTGTCATTCATTTCCCCCTGTATGTAGAGGGGACAGGCAGAACAATCCAGACTCTGTCAGCATGGTCTTCTGAAGGGTTCAGGCCACGCTGATGAGGATGAATAGGAAAGGAGATCTGGCCCTCGAGTCTACTGCTTTTGCTACCCTGAGCTAATGAATCCATATTCTTGGGCTGGAAGGACAGCTCCCAGGAATGATCTATCCTCACAGAGGTGACAGGGGCAGAGGCATGGCAGTGTTGGTCAAGCCTGGGGCAGGTCTGTATTGTGGTATGGCACATTCTGGGTGGTAAATTGGGGGATCCCAGGAAAGACCCTTCTGTATACAGAATTTCCAAGGCAGAACCTCTCCCTTTGCCTACTGCAGACATAAGACCTGGTGGGTGCTCAGGGACCACCCCACCACCACTCACCCCAAGGAGCTTACTTCGCTCTCAGCCAAGTTCTAGAACCAAGCTCAACTTTGCTACCTCCTACTCAGAATCAGCCAACAGAAATTCCTGGACCGTATCTGTTCTTCCTGGCTTGGCTTCATGAAATTAATTGCTGGAGGTCCACAGAGAGTGCTTGGAACACACTGTACCATCTCATCTCACTGTTCCCACAGTTTGCTGACCTTCATCTATCTGACTCTTCTTTGATTCTCCCTTAACTAGGTTATTTGACAACACATCTCTGCCCATCACAAGCCTCCAGTGTCTAGAAAGGTGACTTTGGTGGGACATTACACTTTGTGTGGAAATCTGCACAAAAAACTTGGGTATCTATAAGTTTCTTCAAAATAGAGTAAATCTAGAGACTATATACACCATCATTTCAAAGTTAGTAGATTTATTGTGGACTCACTGATATTCTAAATGCTTCAATCCCCATTTCAGCACATCCAGCCTCTGTCCCCAGGCAGCACAAGTGAAGGAGGCACACTGAGTCAAACAAATCAAATCATCTCTCTGTAGTTGGTCTCCTGTAGGTTTCTACTGAGCCACAGGCTAGTACTTACTGCAAGACATATGTCTAGCAGAGCCCAAAGAACCTTACCTGCCTTTCTGACATGATGTAGAGCTGCTCATGATCCTTGGAGAAGGCCATGTCCCGGAGCACTGGCCCGTGGTCCACCACCTGCACAGTCTCATACTGGAGGGCGTTGCCCCTGGGCCCATCCACCCGGATCTGTGAAGAAGAGGAAGAGGAGAGCCATTGAGTTCAGATCCTGCCAGCAGCCGACCTTTATCCAGAGACCCCTCTAACAGCCAATGGGTGGGGGGAGGGGAGCTCTGTTCCCATCATGCTCAGAGCCAAGGCCAAGGAGTAGGAATGACACACACAGGTCTACCTTAGGTCTCATGATGGGAATGGCAAAGAGAAGGGGTGGGGGGATACCATGCTGAGCTTCACCACAAATCTGATGTTCTCTCTGGCTCCTTTGCCTTGGGCTCAGGTCTTTGAGGAGTTACTGTCTTTGGGGAAGAAGAGGCTGGTATTTGGGGACGGTTCTGGGTAATTGGTGAACAATAGATATTTGAAGCTGATTTACATCATAGTGCCATCCTGAATCAGAAAGGCAATGCTATTTGCCATATTTGTCACCAGGAAAAAGGTTGCTGTAAGGGCGTAGGGTAATTCTTTGAAACTGCTCCCTGGATATTACTGCTATTTATTGGTGGCAGAATGAGGTGGGCAGCCTATCCCACAAGTTGCCCATCAAGTGGCCTCTAATTGGCCATTGAAATCACTAGCTTTTACTTCAGATTATGAGGTAGATGTGGGGTCTGGAGACCTCCTAGATGTTCTATTCAAGTCACCAGAGAAAGGGATGAGGGCATTACAGGAAAATGTGCTTCAGCCATGAGTCATTCTCACTCTTTGGAGAACACTTAGCAGAGTAGATCCTCCTGGGCTATCATAAATGCTTCCTGGAATTTCTTGGACATTCTAAAGACAACAGGAAGTGACTTTTGTCCATGTGCCCATGACCAAGAATGAATCCTAACCCTACATGATGCTTGTTTGGCTCCTAGGGGTTTTCCAGGTTTCCAGAATCACCAGAAGTCTGAATGCATAGATCTTCAGCACAGCCAGTGCCTATTGCTAATAACATCACCCATTCAAGTTGGGAAAAAACATTACTGAGGATGTGGTTAGGCAATGGCCAACCACCAAGCGTTTTGGTAAGGAATTGCCAAAGTTGGTTAGATGCCTTTAGCTTGAGACTGTAAGGCACTCACAGTGGAATTTTAGATATTCTAATAACAAAATTAAAGAAAAGAAATTATATTTCAAATATTACCATTATGTACTCTTATTTTTAATTTTAAATCAGTTAAGTTTTAACCTCTCATGAGATCAAGGAAAATAAAAGATTTATTCAGAGGACCTAAATTACAGAAAAGACACCACATTAAGGACATTATAACTGATCATATCAGTCCACATAAACTCAGCCACTTTTCGTTTCTGTTGAGTTCACTGTGGTTTGTATGTTTGATTTTAAAAGTTTGTTCTAAGTTCTAATTATTTGATTGGTTTATGTTTTTTCCTCCTTTAAATATTATTCTTAAGCTTCCTAGATATCAGGTACTGGGATGGTTTTACATGTAATTCCTATTGATACAATTCTCTCCATTGTGTGTGGAGTGTTCATTTGTCATGTCCCATTCAGGGTCTATCCCATCTTCTCTCACAGTTTGGGTAGAAATGAGTCTACTTCCTGCCTTCTGGGATGGTCCTTGATGAACACAAACAAATCAGCTCAATTTCACTCTCTTGCCACAGTGATCAAGAGTAAATAGGGACCCGCAGATGGCATGATAGTTACATCACTGGGCTCCAACATGGCTGACTGTGTTTCAAGTCCCGGACCCAGTGACTTCAAACTCATACCACGTATATGTGTACATGTGCCCCAAATCCCAAGAGGAAAATGGAGGAGAAGGGATTGTGGTGTGGCCAGTCCCCCTGAGGGTGAGGGGGGAGATTTCTCACTTTCTGGCTCTCTTTCTCTGTCTCTCCATAGAGCACATGTACCCTATAACAAAAACCTGTCCAAAGAAAAAAGAGTAAATAGGTTTGACCCAGTTGACATGTTCAAGAGCAAAATAGGCATTCATGCCAGGGGGAAGAGAAGATTATCCCTGCCCCTGAAGTGTGTCAACGAAACTAGTAGCTCAAAGATCTGTTTGCAGCCCTCTTGAAACAAGGAGGGGAGCTAGAACCAGGGAAGATCAATCAGAGAAATGGAAAAGACCTGGGCTTTGAGGATGTTACTGAGCCACTGAATCAAAATAACTCCAAAGCCTGTCCAGTGTTGGGACTTTCCAGTTACTCAAAATATTTCCTTTTTATTAAAGTAATGCAAGAGTTTCTGCAATATTAGATGTCCTAACCAATACACTGGTAATGGATGAGAAAAATGACACTTAGGTATATTAAACAATGGGTCTGGGTTATAAAATTGGGACAGAACTAGACAGGTTTAATTCTAAAGTCATGCTTTCTCTACCACCCCAGTTACAAGGAAGACTTTGCTCCTGGGGAGGCTTCCTGTTTACTGCCTGGTGGGCACCCTCTAAAGTCAGGGCTGAGTTCCCTGTTTTCTGCAATTCCAGAAAGTTTCTCTATGGGAACCAGCAGTTAGCGTAATGGCTATGTCACTGGACTCCCACGTAGTCAACCGCGGTTCGCGTCCCAGACCCGGTGGCTTAAAACTCACGCTAGACGCATGTGCGTGCGTGCCCAAGATCCTGAGGAGAATGGAGGAGAAGGGATTGTGGCGTGACCATCCCCCTGGGGGGTGATTTCTCGCTTTCTGTCTCTATGTCTCTGTCTGGCGAGCGCACGCGCCCTATAGCGAAAACCTCTCCAAAAAAAAAAAAAAAAGTTTCTCTAGTCATTCCTGAGGATGATGCTCAAATGAAAGTTGGTAAATATTTCTTTTAACAATGAAGAAATAAATGAATAACAATAAGACTCTTCTTTGATGATTGTCTACTAAACTCACTGTTGAAAACAACAGTAGGTAAAGAAAGTCAAGAGACACGCTTAGCCCTGAAAATCAAAATGCCTCAGATTCCCAGACCCTGCTTTCTTCTCTGCCCATCCCCAAGTTACCAGATGTCCATGCTGGCCAGGTCTGTTTTTAATCTGAATGAAATGGGAGTTCATGTAAAACCAATTGGGATTACCACCCAAGTCTGACGGTGCAGTGATGGCTTTGGCCCCTGGCCCAGCTAGGCTTCATTTTCAGCTGGGTGCTGCCCCTGGAGCAGGAACAGAGAATGATACTGAGTGCCCTGACTGGTCTCCAGCCCCTTCAGTCCTCTGACAGAAACAGGCTTCCTTCAGGAATACTGGCAGGACTAAATCCCATCCAATGCCCCTTAATCTGATCGCCAAAGGAAATTACATTCAGTGCCTGAGTCGTCTTCTTTATCATTCAGCTCCAACTTCCCTGTTCCTTAGGATGAGTGTTGTGCTAGAGGAAGGTAGACATCAGGAAAACCAGGTAACCCGGTGCAGGAACAGGGGCATCCATGAGGGATATAACAGGCAGCACCAATCAGGCATGTGTCCACAGGCCTGGCCTTGTATAGGGAGGCTGGATGGGGTACATCTCTTATGCCAGAGTGGAAATCAATTGCTAGAAAGGTCTATCCCTTCCCGCTCTTGCACCACCATCCCCAGTCCACAGCTGCTCAGAAAACAGAAAGGAACACAATTATTTATTGAACTGCTAAAAGACTCTCATGTAAGACATGGAGAAAAGGAGCTTATGGTGGAATTTGTTCAAAGTGTGTTGGGAAATCCTACAATTTAGGTAGAATGGATCAGCTGCCAGCTCTTGTGCCCTTACATAGGCAAACAGCAATAAGAGCTGCTATTTGAGTGGCTACTCCCCATCGGATACAATGCTAGGCATTTCACAAGTCTGTTTTCTCATTTAAATTTCCTAAGTCAGTAAAGCCTGCATGAATATTGTCCTCCTTCAGGGGTGAGGCACAGGAGAGGTTCGATCACTTGTTCAAGGTCCGTATAGTAAACAGCAGGGCCTGGACTATGTGACAGTCTGACAGACTCACGTCCATGCAGCTATGAGTTAACACAGAACTCCAAACGCTTGTGCTAACCCAGGTCCTACTTGTTAAATAAGCCTGCATCCCTTCAAGGAGTCAATATAGTTGGTTAAACAAACATCATCCTTAGGCAGGGCGAGTGGAGGAATCATGTCTTCACTGTAATTCTTCGGGGGAAAGGAATGTGCACATGAATGAAGATGCTGTTGTAAATTTTCAAAATCCTTTACATTTTTGTTTTATATCTTGCAAAGCATTCTTAAATAACACTATCTCATCCGATGGTTGTAAAATTTTTATGATGTTGACTGCCAGCGTGATCATTCTCATTTTACTCATGAAGCAACTGCAGTTGGAGCTGTTCCCAAAAGTTCAATGTAAACCAATGACAGGTAGGAATAGAACCCAGGTCTCCTGATTCCTAGCTCAGCACTTACCTCTTAGCTATTTAGAGGTTCCAAAAGCCTTTGACAAGGTTCCACATGTAAAAGTATTTAAAAATAATGAGTCTCCGTGGGACAGTTTGGCCATGGAGAGAATGTACTTAGAGACAGAGAAAGACACGTTTCAGCGTGGAGAAGTGGAACTGGGGACTCTCCAAACACTACTGTTACAACTAGTCCTATTTAATATTTCTTATAAATGGTCTGGAGGAGGGAGCAGAAGGATTTGAAGATGATTCTAAGCTCTTTGGAATTGGATCAAAGATGCCCAGCAATGGAAACGCACTACAGAAAAATAGCCTGTCCTCTGCAGGGACTGAAAGTGAGAAGGACCTGACACATGGGCCAATAGCCCTGGAAATGCAAGTCTCATGGAGCACAGGTCCTGCCTGTTGTACCCAGCACAGTACCCAAGACGTGGTGGGTGCTCAGTTGGTTGTTACTGAATAAAGGAAATGTGACCCATAGTCTGCCCTATCTGAGCTGCTGAATGTTAGCATGGGAAGAGAGACCAAGGAACAAGGAAAGGAGTCTTGGCACTACTATTTTCCACTCCCAGTCCCCCAAGGCAGAAGAAGCCAACAAAATCTAAGGCAGCATTCCAATGGGATTATAGGGAAGCACAGACAACAGAAGCCATCGTCCTCGCCAAGTTCAC